TATATATATATATATATATATATATACAGTTGAATACCAAAAAAATCTTAGATTACAATATCAATATCATAGAATTCCACTATAATTTATCAATCTTAGTAACTGAGCTATATTTGGGTCTAAAAGACTAAAAACACACCCTACTGCCTTGAAATATTGGTTAGAAGAAAGAAATGGCATCCAAGCCTGTTAAAATGTCCGAGAAAGCCACAAGGGGGACGTTCTGAGCTTTGGATTGATTATTCATGTCATATATAGAAATAAATGTATATAAGGGAGTGTTTCCAAAAATGGAAAGAGGTGGGCACTGTGTTTGATTTATTACAAGATTAATATCTTGGCAAATTGAAAAGATAAGAGTGCTGCATTCAACATATTGTGTGACACACAAAAATTGATGTTTTAACTGTTTTTGTTTTTATATATACTTTTAAATTAAGAAGTTGGGTAAGATATAATACTAAAATTTTAATTATAATCTACAGTTTGATATGAAACTTATTGACATAAATTCATGAAATAGTAGTTCAATAAAATTGAGCGCAAGTCAATAAATGCGATTACATGACCTTTCACCTGTGATACGTCTGGAAAGTGTTAAACCTGCACTGTTCACTGGTAGTACTATAATGCTCAGTGTAGAGATGGGATGTTCTATAAGACCATTGATGGTGTGCTCAGTGGTATATACATACATTTGTCAATATCCACCAGTTTTACTCATTCTGAACTGTCACTCATGGACTTTCATGAGTAAAGCAGAAGGGAATTTCTGCCCATCCCTGCTGACCCCTTGACTGAATAAATCTAGGATGGTCTGCTTCTCAAAATAGGGAATGGTGGACTTCCTCTGGACCCCCCCCCCATTTTTCTCCAGCTGGAGCAAGAAAGCCCTTACCACATCCCAGTTCCAAGTCACTAGGCTTGTGAACCATGGTGGCTTCCTCCTGAGTGCATTGTAGACTTTTAACTTTTTGTATGTATACACAGTTAGAACAGGGCAAAGCTGGTTTCCCTCCTTCCATTTCCTCTGGATGCTTATTCCCGGGTGGACAGTTGTCAGTTGGAGTATGACCAGCCTATGCAGTATCCTCCTCATAATACTGGGTTTGGGATGACACTGCTCTGCTCCTATGGTTGTGTGCAGTGGAGACCACCACCCCCTTCTCATTAATTTGGGTTGCAGGTGGTTCCTTCCCTGTTTCTGCAATTGAGTTTGGGGGACTTTGTCTCCTTGTAATACCAACAGCAGGATGTACATACACTGTTCCTACAGTTGAGTGAATGTTCCATATCCTCCTTGTAATTCAGGATGCAGGATGTTTCTTCCCTGTATTTATGGCTGGGGGAGTTAAGATTTCTGCTCTTAATACCAGTTACAGATATTGCTTTGTTCTTATGGTCGAGTTGAGGCAATGATGAGACCCTGTAATGCCAAGTTCAGTTTGTTGTACTTCTTGCTCTTATTGTGGTTTTGGGAGTTTGTCCAGTTTCAGTTGCATGATAACTTCCTCTTCATAATTCTGTTTGCTTGACATATGACACTGTCTACTTATGGTTTGGAGTCATGTGTATAGGTGACATGGTCCATGTGCCCTAGCCACATTATTTATGTTACTCTTTACTCGTTTTTATCTTATTGATTTTCAACCTCTTAATGTCAAGGATGTGTTGTGGAACCTTGTCTGTATGGTTGAGGGTGAGTATTTCCATAGCTACATCAAGTGTTTTTGATGGGTTTTTTTACTATGGATTACACCTCTCACAATGAATTACACTTGTGCACATCCTTTTTTTCTGCCTGTATCAGGTTCATTTCCTTCTTCCACAGCAAAGGGCATACCTGTTCCAGAAGTAGTGAGGTGACCCATATGTCTACTTTGGTTTTTCTTGGAGCATACCTATTCATTATGGGAGGTTGCTTTCCTCATGGTTTCAGTGTTGTGTGCCTACACTGGCCCCTCCACCTTTCCAGTGTGGGATTCTAGTGGAGGTAAAAACCATATAGGAAGTTAACATTTTTGAACATTAGAATGTATTTCTGATAGGTACTTACCCCTTTCACATGTTTCCCACCTTTGTCCCCACTGCCAGTGTGATTCTTTTAGATACTACCAATTCTCAAAAATGAGGATTGAGCAGGAATAGCAGAAGAACTAGCTGTACCAGTATAGGTGGTGCAATACTATTGGTGGAAAGTAGTCACCTGCTGTGTACATGTTCAATAGTGGCACAAAATTGGTTGGGTATATAGACTGATGCACTGAGTATGAAAATTAATTTTAGCAATGCTTTGAGGGCAGAAAGAAGATTGAGATTCTTTGTGTGAGAGAGGTAAGTGCCTATTTTCAGTGTAAGTAAATGTTAACTTTGGTATTTTTCTTTTGTCTCGGGACTTTCATTTCATTTCCATACTTATTTTTATTTATAGACAGCAAAGCTAGTACTCGAAGAATTTTTTGCTGGACAAACTGAAAAAATTGAAAAAGTAAGTTTTTATATGTGTGTTATTGTTGAAACAGTTATTAAGGATGTTTCTATTCCTCAATGAAATGTTGATATGTTTTATATAATTAGTCCCCTGGTTCATCATCAGTAAGTTTATGGACTTACAATACAAAAATTCTGGGGGTTGATTCCCTGTTGTGGACAGCTGAAATAGCCCATTGTGTAGTCTTGCACAAAAACAACAAAAGCATTGTGTTTAATGAGCAAATTATATATAAAGGATATGTACCTTCTTAGTAGGCTGTTTTTTAAAAACCAGTTTTGATTTCTTTCTAAATATCAGTTATACTAGTAGAATAAGGATACTGTCACATGATGGATTTATAATTGTTTTGCATTTTAAATACATATATACTTGCATCTTTTTCATCATCTAGATGCAACATTATTGTTCTTTATGATAAACTACCATGATTGTTACATGAATGTTCTTGAAATTCTCAATTTCAAGGGTTTGACAGTGTTCGAAAAGGGGCCCTTTTCTTTTTTTTCAAAAGTACTTGAAAACATTATAATATATCAATATATCTAACTTTAATGCACGTTGCAGAGTTGAGTGCAATAAATAAAGTCTTTCTTTTGCTTTTAGTCTACGTTCATATGTTTAACAAATAAATAGGAATTTTAAAAATTTCAGTAGAATACAACTGATTTTTATGTAGATTTTAGCTTCCAAAAAGTTGACTTTCTGAGAGTGCTTGAAATTGATCTGAGCAATTCAGTATGAACCACGTTATTACTGTAGCTTGATACAAGGCATTGTAACTTTCAGACTATTGGGTTATTCTTGATTATCAAGTGAAACATTTTGGATTATGTTTTATAAGTGTGCATTGTAAATTATTTTGTCATTTTTATATTGTTTCATTTTTACTTATCACATCCTTTAGCAAAATATATTTGTTTCCTTTTGTGTTGTGTTTATATATATATATATATATATAATCATTTCTGAGTAGGCCAATCACAGCCCAGCTGGACTGTGAATCTGAGGTTTCATGGTTTGTACCCTATTACTGGAAATAATAATATAAAAAAAATATGCTCCATACTTTGGGGTTGATGTTGCTTTATATGGATGGCTGTCATAGCTCACTATTCAACTGGAAAAAACCAATAGTTGGTGGTGGATGGTATTGACTAGCTGCCTTCCCTCTAATATATTACTTCAAAATTAGGGACAGCTGGTACAGATAACCCCTGATTAGTTTTGCATGAAATCCAAACAAAATATTTTAATTGGTACAGCAGGTTGCATATAATTGCAATTGATCACTCTGCACTGGACAAAACAATCTATAGTCAGTAACCATATGTACTAGTATATGTAGAGATTTTACAAACATAATTTTGGACAGATGTATTTAAATATCTAAATACATGGAAGGTGACTTCTATATATGACAGGTAGAATAATTAAGGGTATGATGCATTACACACATTGTAAAATAGTTAAGGTTTTACAGAAATAAATGTAATTATTTTTCCTTTTAAAGCAGTCACAGTTGCAGATTTTGTGAAATTAAACTATGAAATCACAAATTGAAACAGCTGGTTGGATTTGGTAAACCTGGAATGGTTTTGGATGTTTGAAAAATATCAGGAATTGTAAGCTTGAAGTCAGCCAATTGAGTGACAAATTACTATTTATTTTCATTTTGTGAATAATGAATGCTTCATAAGTGATGATGATATTAAAATATCTTCCAAGGAACAAATAGCAAAATGTGATTATGCATGTTATTACTCCCAAAATTCTAAGGTTAACACAATGTATTGATTTTTGTTTTAGCAAAAGTCTCCGACAGCAGTGCATTTTTATGCATCTGGTGGCAATAACCAAGTAGGTAATAGACGTCCACAGAGCATGTTTTCTGCAGATTTTAGTCCATTTCAGCAAGATGTGGGTCAGTGGGACTTCAGGTACTAAACACACAGCATTTTCTAAAATTAAACTTTTGATTGTTATCGGATGAACTGAAGTTGTTTTTTCAAAGCTTGTTGTTAATAAATATAGTTTGATATTAATTGTATTACTGGCAGTATTCTAGCTGTATAAAGTTTAAAAAAATTAGCTTTATTATATCATGTATTTTATAGTACTTAGAACAGTAGCTTTGTTTTCTTGGATTTTTTTGCTATAAAATATATAATTATCATATATGAAAGGAAAAATTTAACATTAAAATAAACTTGTTGTGGTACTTTAATCATACAATGATAAGCCTAAATTGAAACTACAGATCTAATCTGTATACTTGGGTATATGATTGCAAGAAATCTGACAGTGTTTAGCAATTATTTGAATTGCTTAGAGGTGGCCAGTTAACTTGATTACAGCAATTTATGTCATATAAAATAATCAATCAAAATTATGGTTAAATAAATTAATTTCACAAAAATAATCAACTAATTGAGATTAATGTTTCCAATTATTTCAACTATCTAAGTATTGAAGTATTACCATTATAATGTTCTGTTATTATTTTCACTTAATTATAAATTAATAATAATTATAATTAATAATTATAAATATTCAAGGTTGTTCAGCTTAATCAGTTCGTGTCATTACTCATGAAAATAATCATCTAATTAAGTTAGTGTGACCAAAGCCCCAAATATGCTGAATATATTGAAACTGTTGTATTATTTATTGAAGTAAAGTTTACTTTAAAATGCTGAACTTTTATTTTTCTAAAGGAGGCTAAGAAACTTTAAAATAGTCAGTGCAACAGATACCAACCATCTCACCTCAGATAAAAGACTATCATAACTTTTTGTAAAGTTTAAAAATTAAAAGTAAATATTAATTATAATAGATTGACTATTAAACCTCATGTTTATCTAGTGGTGGAGAGGGTGTTGTTCCTTGTTTCCCACTTCCCTGTTATAGTGATCCAACAGCTAAGGTTTCAACATGGCTCTGCAATGATGCTAAAACAGGTCAAGTAGAAAAAGAGGCTAGTCCTCACAATAGCAGCTCCAGCAATGAAGGAACATACAAAGCTGGAGAAAATGCAAGTCCAATTGATGATGAAAAGTCTACCAATAAAGAGGTATTTTTATTCATAGTTTAACATCAGATGTGATTATGTTAGTGTCATGTTCCTGTTTTGATAATAACAGGGTCTGTTTAAGCTTTATAACACAGATGTTGAGTGTTGCAGCTCATGGTACAGCATTTCTCTGTTTGGGAAACTTTGAACCAAATAATATTTTAGTTAGTTGTTTAAAACACTCCATGAAAAGTTTTACAAAAAATATCAGTTATAAAAGCTTTTATTAACATAGTCAGAGAAGTAGATTTGAAATATTAGCAACAAATCTGCTTCTTCAAGTTAAGTAATAGACAAGTAGCTTCCAGATTCTTGAGTTCCAAATTTTCAGTCAGTTTGTTTTAGTATATTTGCCATGATCTAGAAACCTAAAGCTTTGAGATTTGAACAAGGTTTGTGTTGGTAGGCAAATTATAAGATTCTTCCATTCTAGATTTCAACTGTATTTGAATCTCTCCTCCTCTTAAAAATTGTAGGCTTATAAAGTGGATTATACCATGTGTACTGAATACTTACAGTAAAGTTGTGGTGATCTGATATCTCTTATCATAGTTAGTAGCCTGTACAATTCCCTGATTATAATTATTGATAAATAACTAACTAGTTTTCATCCTAGGTTTCAGCCTGCTAACTTGCAGCCACCTTGATAGTGGCCAGGATTTGATCATGGGTCTTCTTGATGGAAGTCTGGTGTTGTCCACTTGACTGGGATTTTCTACATTATGACTTGAATCAACAAATCTTGCTGGTTCACTAGTTCTTTTGAACGATAGTAAAGTTAATTCAAGTGAAATAGTAAAAAATAATCATGTTAAAAATAAAAATAGATAAATAATATTAATTATATAATTAAAAAAAGGGGGGAAAAAAGAAAAGATTACAACATAAGGAAGAATGGCATGAATTTAACACATCATATCCAAACCTTAGATGAAAAATATGTAATTGTTATATTACATAGAAAATGAAAGAGAATAGAAACAATGCAGCTACAAAATGGACATGTACCACCTGGGCACATTCCATAAAATAGGTAGTTATGCAATTTGCTCTGGTTTTTGAGGTACTGATGGAAGTAAGACCCCAAACTGCATTGGGGGTACACCATCTATCCAGTTTAACCTCAGTTTCGCAGGCCTCACTTTCTTAAAAAAAATTAAAAAGAAAGAAATAATTGGAATACATACATCAATGGAGAAGATGGTAAAATTGTCCTTGAAGTTGGCATTCCAGCCCCCATAATGATGATGTTTGGGCATAAATACCATGATGTTAAGGTATTAATATACAAGCCCAACCTAATTTGTTAGTATAGCTCCCATCCTCTACCCATCCATGTTACTGTCAAGGTCTTCAAAGGTTCTATAAGAATTACATAGTAGTCGGTCTTATATGGGGAAAGTTATACATCTACATTTTACACCTATACAAGATAGTCCAAATTTCAATAATTTTCCCTACAAAAATTGGAAGTTATTACTTATTGTGTTTATTATGATATTGTTTATGTGGTATGTGTCTGTTTTGTAGCTGCATTGTTTCTATTTATTTTCATTTTCTACATAATATTACAATTAATATTATATTGTTAATTGTTATCCTAAAAGTCTGACTTATAAATGACTTTAATAAAATTGATAATAATTACAGTGCACATGCTTAATCTAGTTCACACCATAAGAATCGCTGTTGGTGAAAATTGGGGATACAAGTAACTTAGACTACTACTATGTCTATCATATCCCAGCTGGCCTAATGACCTCCCCTGGTATTGGACGATAGGCCTCATTAGTTCTGGATATGGCTGATTTAGTGTGGTTGACATATATTTTCTATTTTTTTCTTTCTAAAATATATGACTCGCACATAAAAATAGAAAAGTAGGACAAAAGAAGCCTTCTATATCCAATTAACTGATAACATGTTCAGTCAGTCTAACATAAAAGTCAGCAAAACCTAGACATCCTTCTCGAAAACATTCAGATAGTTGATTCAAGTTTTAGTATGGAAACCCCAGTCAAGTGGATAATGTTCTGGACTTTTGAAAAGATGACTCAGAATTTAATCCTGGACATCATTAACATAGAAAATAGTTCTCTCAGGACTTATCTGAAAATAGCAGCAAATTAGCAGCCTAAATGTAGGATAAAAACTAGTTAGTAAATAGTTTACAATTACAATACTAAAATATTCAAGTTAATAATTAAACTTAAGTGATCATATAGGTTACTAACCATGACATTGATATGCAGCAACCTCCTTCAGTTATTTCAGTCTACTGATTGACCAAGTAAAAGAAAAACAAATGCCTGTAATTTATTGAATTATACACATATATTTTAATGATTTCTACATATAGTTTTTTCAATAAAAGACAGCTGTAGGCAGGTTGTGAGAAATATTTTTCTGTCATTAACTTGGATAGGCCAGTCACATCAGTTCAGTGTGTCCAACTATGATACTTTCAAGGTAATCTGCACTTTTTTCTAGGCAATTGTCAAAGAAAGAGATTGTTTAATTAATTAATTAATATATTGGCAAGGAATTTCTCCAGTTTATTATGGCAAACCTTAAAAGTAACTTGAAGTTACAGATGATTTGTATAATTCATCTCTGACCAAAAACATCCTTTTTTGCCTCATCTAATGGTTATTAGATGTGTATTAGAAAGACCCACTTCAGCATTACTATAATCATTTCATTTTATAAGAATATTTGAGGTGCATTGCCCTTTTATCTGTTTCTTCGATTGTTGATCATTCTCAGTCTGATAGCCATGACATTGCAATTTCCATTGTAATGAGCTTGTAGTTTCTTCAGTCATCTTTCTGTACAAACAGCTGTTGATTTCAAGATTTGGCTGGAAGTTTATGAACTTTTGGTTTGTGAGCCGATGTCATCTTCAAATTATTCTTTGTTATCTTGTTAATGGTGCCAAGAGATATGCCCAGCCCCTATTGCAGTGGGCTTTTGGCTGAAGGATTCTCTTTCATACTAATATGTTTTCTTTTTCACTGAGGGCATTGTTCTGGATTGGGTTGGGACATGGTGTTGAAGCCTGTTATTCACCTAAATGCTCTGTAGTATGCAAGTTTTTCCACTTCCATGGATAACTCTGAAAGTTCCCTTTTTCAAAATGTTTTGTTTTTTTGACTCTACATTGTTTAATAATGTTGCTGTATGAACATTTCTCTTATGAAGAGGCTTTTTATATTCTTTCAAGTAGAAGTCTATCCATTCCAGCATTGCACTGTAGAACAATTGAAAGTTTTCTATGAAATGAATGGAGAGGTGCTAAACATGGCACCAGAACTTGCATCTATGGGACATGTCACTACGTTAGCATGTACAAATAATTCAAATACAGCATAATTAACTCTATATAACTTCAGAGCTAGCTTACACATCAGTTGTGTATTGCTTAAAGTAATCAAGAATTCTCATGTTTTAGAAAAATGATTCTACCATGGAAATAGGATGGAAAAAGTAGTCATAGTAGGTTATAATCTACAGTTTATTCCATTATTATAACAATAACTCTGTCATTTACCAATCAAGAATTTTCTGAGGCACCAGTGAAGAAAAAAATTAAATAGAAAAGGTCTGTCTTTATAATGTTTGGCAGAAAAATATCACAACTCAGCAGCAAAAACTGGAACACGTATATATAAAAGTTGGTTATACAAGAAACTATACAAATAATATATTTATGTTGGTGTGATGCACATGTATTTAAATTCGCTATAAGATTAAACATTATCTGATATTCGTCATTTTAATAAATACAAATGATGATGAACACACCTTTGACTATCCCACATACACAAAATGACATGCATTATAATAAGAGTTACAATTTTGGGATTCAAATATCTACCACTTAAAAGAACTTTTGATAAAGCAAGACTGTTATAGAAAGGTACATTCTTTGAAACAAAGCTAAAAAAAATTATTTGCCTCTTTTTAAATATTTTAATCTTTCCTGTGTGAAAGAACAATTGAAATTGAGAGGTGGTGGTCCTGAAGCTAAGAAATTCCACCTAGATATATTTTTGTTTTTTGTATGTGGTCTTAGTTGTTTTTTTAGTGAAACATCCAACCTAATTAATCTCATTTGATGTGTATTTAAACAACTCTATTTATTCAATTATATAAAAGCTGCCCAGTGTTGGTTAACAATACGAAGAATTAAATTGTGGTGAAATGCTACAAGTTCTTCAAATACCTATAGAATGATAGGTTTCTTTTTTTGTGAGTGTTAAACATTTAAATACACCAGTTTGATTTTTGATACCTCACTTCTATAAAGGCTTGATTTGGTTTGATAATTAATTGGTAGTAGTGTCCAGGGTTACTGATGAGGAGTGGAATTCTCCGAAACTGGTCTGGCTCACAGACACACACCCGCAATGAAATAATAGACCATTCCAAGCTTCTACTTGTTGTTAAACAAATGTATAAACAACTCTATTTATTCAATTGTGTACCTTTCATTCTTAAACTACATGCGAGGTCTAGGAAGACTAAAATAATAACTAAACACATGATTTTAACTTGTATCTAAACATGCGACTTTAACTTTCATGGTTGCTTGAGGTATTGATAAACGTTTTCCAGTCATTGAATTCTTATTTTTTGTAAGACTTTGGAGAGACTGGCAAAAGATGTAAATTTGGAAGAAGTTTAATTTTTTTCTAATGGATAAAGTTCAGTATTACTAATAATGAGACAAGATTTTTGATATTGAAATCTTGAATTATGCTATCCTAGTATATCCATCTTGTCTTTAAATAGATATATAGATATACTCATCCTCTCCTTAAGGTTGCCAACATTCCTTTGGACTCGCAACTTCAAAATGCACAGCCTGTAAGTGAATCACAGCTATTCAATGTAGGAACAGTTTCAAACAACACAGCTAACCAACTGATGAAAGGTAGGAAGAGTTCTTGACTCTTTTTATATCTTATTTCAGATTGGCTCTATTGATCTTTTCTTTTTTTTTAAACTAAATTTATAGAATGTTATTGTATTGTTTTCAGTTCAGTACTACAATTTAAATGATATAGAATTTACACTTTGCAAAGAATCACAAGACTTTTCTGTATTTTAGCTATGACAGTGCAGTTTATCCCTAATAAAGAAAAGGCTACCTTTCTAAAGTATTAGAGCTATAAGGTTTGTATTTTTGCATAACTACAGTTATTGAATAATGCCAATGGCAGCCCTGAGCTACCTTTATGTATAAGAAGAATCAAGTGACCATCATTTGATATTTGTATGCAAATGTCTATTATTTGAGTCAAGGTCAGCAAATGGTAATTTGATAATACGAACTTTGCAGCCAAAGAAATGATCAGTAAACACTTGTTAATAATGAATACGACTTCATTAAGTTGTAAGACATTGATGTTATTAAATAGTGCATTCTACTTTTATTTTGTTATGGTTTTGTTTACGATTCATTTAGTATTCCTTCTGTCATTTAGTTCAACTATGAATTTTTAGTTAAAATGCTAATTCACCTTCTAGCTAGAGCATATTGAATTTAAGTGTGTTTGTATTGCGAGGTATAGATATTAATGTTGTGAAAGATTATGCAAGTTGGTTAGTCATATGGGATGTAATCTTGTGGTCCAACCACTAAATATAAAGTATTTCTTGATCTTAAACAAGTTAGTTCACAAGATGTAGTTAAAATGTATTATTGCTGATTGTTGCTCAGTATTATTTGTCTTGAGTAGTGGTTTGATTTTGGAATATAGTGTTGTTTTTTTCTTCTTTTGGTTCTTTTTCTTAATTCTTTTATTTATTGAAATTAGTAACATTGATATTTATGTTGTATTATTTATTAATGTTTGTATCAATTCTTGGCCAGGCATGAGTTTACAAACTTTTTTTTTTTGAAAGTGGTAAAACTTGTATTCCAATTGTTTGAAAGGTTTATTTTGTTGTTACAGTTTAATATTTTGTTTTTGTTTGACCTTGGTTTTAGCAACATTTTATTTTAGTCTATTACAATGTGATGAGCTGAATAAATCAATGAGCTTCAAGAGAACTATGACTCACTCTTTCGTCAGAGTCAATTTCTAGTTTATCAATACTGCTTGGAGATGAATCATTTGCTGTCAAGTATTCCAAACATGTTAAATCAGAGTTAACTCCACAGAACATGCTGGCTAGTCCATTTATACAATACTTTATGTTTCCAAGAACCTCCTAACCAACTGACATGGTTGGCAGTGCATTAGATGAATGTTCTGGTCAGTTGCACCTTTAATAAAAACACTAATATTTATGAGACTGCATCCCTGTATCATAGGTGTTATAGTGCCATGTTGCAGCACATAAAAATCAGTGTAGTGACAAGTATTGATTCCTGTCCAACCACTAATCTATCATTGTCATACATGTCTTCTATCTGTGGATTTGGATCTGGTCTCAAGCATTCACCAAATGTGTACACATCTCATATCTAGCAGCAGTGTGTAGCTTTATTCAAGTGTGAGTAAGACCAGTCACTTGACCAATCCACATTCTATGGATACTACTGAAAACTGGCTGTTTTTTAGTAATGAGATAGAGGAACCATGCTGTTTGTCATCTGGCATGAAGGCTAACCTCGTGAAACCTGTTTCTGACTAATTGCATGTTGATTGGTTGTTCTACTGTAATCTTATGGGGTTGTTGAGAATGATCTATCTCAGGGGTTCTCAACCTTTACACTACCACAGAACCCTTATTCAAAAATTTATTTGCAGTGGAATCTTATCTTACACACACATGAGCAAGCAAACATGCATGTACACACACACACAAGTGAAATGCATTATATGCATTATTATTGTAGGTGAAATTGAAACATAACATTAGATTAAATATTAAACTTAATACTCTATATGTTTGAAGTTCTTAATTTTATAACAGATATTTAAAAACAACCTCAATCTCCTATATTGTGAGAATTGTGACATCTCTAGTCATCACCTCTTCTTTAATTTATTTATCTTCCCTCCGAGAAATAAAATATTTGACATAAAATAGTCTCTATAATATAGTCTAGCTGATGTGATAGAAAACTTTTATATCCTTCAATCTTATTTGTATAAAGAATGATCCAATAAAAATTCAGACCCCTTCTGTCACACCTACCTTTCACATCCTCTCTTTTACAATTTGCTAATAGGTTCCCCTGATGTCCACCTTCATTAAATTTATAACCAATAAAAAAAATCTAGATTTCAACCGATCGATTGGCATATTTTTCTAGCACAAGAGAGCCAGAAAAAATTGTGACAGTTAAAGAACAGTCTCAGGTTTTTTTTTATATTGCTACAATTACTGATTTTTTTCTTGTAAAACCCCTGAAACCAGTGTATGCACATTTAGGGTTCCATGGAATCCAGGTTGAGAAACCCTGATCTATCCCATCCAAGTCTCCAGCCAATTGTATTAGTTGTCTGAAAATGTGTCTACATCCTGCTAACCACACTTTATGAGACTTTTAGCCATTCTGCAATAATTTATTGTGTTAAACCAGCTGCCACCGACCTATTTCCTCAACCTCATGGAAATGTTAAAATGTCTGTTGGTATCCTGATATGTTTCACTATCAGTCGGAACCTCTTTTAACACACACATACACTGTTATACTTCTTTCACCTTTCTGTGTTAACTGAAATATCCATATCAGATCATTATACAGGTCACTTGACACTTGTTTTACATGAAGATGAACTCAGGAGTGCCATTGACATTATTTAAAAACAGTAGTTGTTCCATGTCATAGCTAGAGTATAGAAAACTGTAATTATGCCTTTTTTTATTCTGAGCAGTGTATTAAGTGATACTTTAGTATTTTGCATAGATTGTAATCTTGGAATATTTTGTGTTGAACTAAGTGCAATGCTAAGTTGTTAAAGATGTAAAGTGATCAAAAGATTCTGATTTAGTACCTAGTCACCCTGAAGTTTGTACTGAAGTCAGCTGTCTTGTTCCTGAAGCTGGTTCAGTAAAAGTTGTTCGTCAACCACTATTTCCTGATAGTAGAAAGGATGCATTTGAACAGGTAACAGAAATGTTATTTTGAGTTCCTAAAATAATAGGATTTTCTAAATTAATTAAAAGTGAAGCATATTTTGTTTGTTTTTTCCTTTGCCAGAAAATAATTTGATTTTATGCCATTGGTGAAGGATGTGAGGAAAAGTTTTAATTAAAAATGTTTAGAAGAATAGTCTCAATAGTAATTGTTATAATACTACTGTTTGAAATATAAAATTGAGTATAGAATTTTTCTGTTTTGT